TTCCTGCTTAGATGTTACTCTGGCTCTTGCTGCAGTTCAGCCTGTGGCTTTGTAGCATTTTTCAGAAAGTGTCAATGCGTTCTGTGTTTTGATTTTAGTAATTTTATTGCTGAGTTTTCTTCTCCTTGTCGGTCTGACAAGTCATGTAAGCAGTGAGGCTGAGTTTTTGGATTTCTTTATGAATGGCCCCCAAATAGGTTACTTTGCATCCAGATTTTAACAGAATCTCTGTGTCAGGTTGGTGCCGATGGAATTCAGCTTTATGTTTATGCTGCTGCTGATTGTGTCTTTCACTTTTCAGTCCTATAAACTGTTTATAGTAGTTTGGGAACTGATCTTTTTTGTCTGCCTCTTCCCCTGAAAGACCCTTGACCTTAATATGCATACTAGAAGATATTCCAGTGGCAGAAGAGGTGTTGGAGTGGTATAGGGTACAATTGTCTAGTCTCTTCTGGAAAACCGAGACTTGCTCTTGTTTAAAACCTTATGTACAAAATACTTGGCTTGAGCACTTGTGCAGGTGGTACAGGCTATGTTGGCTGAGGTGCTGTGTGAGTCTTGAGTGTGGAAAAGTCCATGAAGTGTGTTCAGCCTGAGGCTCACTGAAGCCAACAGCAGCTTCTGCAAACTGTGTACCAAGAGATGGCCTTGGTTTGCTGAGTCTTACTGTGCTGCATAGGAAAGAACTAGCATCTGTGTCTCAGAGATCAGATTGCAAAGCTTAGCTCCCTGTGCCTTTGAGGGGAGTACAAGCAATTGTGTGTTAGATTATAGGGCTTTTTGACTCTAACTTAATAGAAAAAGAAAAGAAGGGGGGTGGGTGTGCTCTGAGATCCAGGCTGGAATAGAAAGGTAATATTAATATGAACCTTCAAGTAAATGGTAACCAAAGTGAAGTTCAGTTTAGTAGGGCAGTTGCACTGAGTGAGCAGAAATGAAACTGCCATGCCTGAAATGATATGGACTCATTTATTGAAGAAATGGGACTGGCTGGTCTCCATCCTGGAATATTGAAGAAGTTACCATGTAATGCTGAATGTCTGTTAACGGGGATTTTATTAAATCTGTTAAGTCAGGGCTAGTGACAAAATACAGAGAACAAGCTGAGTGTACAACAACATGCACTGAGCAAGGACTGAATTAACTGACCCATTAAAAACTGGATGACATGTTTTCATGTGGTTTGCTCCATGGCAGGTAGTGTCACACCAGCCTTTTTCATAAACCAGCTCTATCTAGAGAGATAAGTTTCGTTGTCTAATCTCTTCCATTATGGAGTCATATGGAAGATTAATTACTGTGACAAAGGGATCAAGGTTTATGCAAGTATTGCAAGATGGGTAACAAGCTGGTGAAAGGGAGGGTGTTTGCACAGCAGGGAAAACTGAGTTGGAGGCAGGAGTCATGAGGCACACATTACTTCTCATCCATGGTCTTGGCATAAAAAGTCAGAATATATATGTGACATGTTTGTGATGAACCCATCCTAGGAGACACAATAACCTGGAGGAGGAGAATGATAAATGTTTTGCATAAGATGGGCTCTAAAACTTTATACTTAAATTTTTGTAACAGTAGACTCAGAGGGCAAGAATGTGCCTCCACAAAGTTATAGGCAGAATTTCTGTTGTGAATGGGGTTCATCAGTTTGAAAAGAAAAACTAGAAGGTGTCTGGGTTACTGTAGGGGCATAACTGGAAGACAAGGGGGATTTTGGCTTTAGGAGATGCTTCTAGCACAGCTGGGAAGTGCTGGTGCCTTTACAGCCTGTGTTTTGAAATGCTCTGCACAATGCACAAGAGGAACAAAGAAATGTGGAGGGTTTTTTTAATGAAAAAAACATCACAAAGGAGAAGATTCAGGCAGGCCCAAGAAATGATCAAGGTAAACATGTTAAGGTGATGTGGCATGGCTTAGGTATGGGAACATATCCAGAAAATAACCTCCAGGGTTGAGGAGGAGGAATTACTGAATCTAAAGGATAATTTGGGCTTCCAGGCCTCTGAGCTACTTTGCATCAGGTGCAGTGAGAATAAAAAAATCTGGCTGGGCTGAAGGTAAAGCTTGATGAACATAAGAAAGAGATTGTGTTATGCCATTACCTGTTGTTTCAAGGTGTGTGAGGATCTAGGAAGTTTTCTTCCACTCATGTGGTTTCTCTTCTATATGGCAAAATATTTGAATTAATTGAATCTAAAGCCCTGTTGTAGAGAGAAAGTTGAAATTTATCATGGAACTGATGGCTTATATCATGGCTTAATTTAAATCTTACCCAAACAGAATCAAGTTCAAAGCACTGAAATTATTTTTTGAAGTTGTGATAAAGCTGTAAGTAATTGAGTCAAGTCAGTTCAGCCATGAAACTTCAGTTCTTTTACTTGACTGGGATTTGTCTGAGGCTTGGCCTGAGTGCTGCTACATTTTGGGAATGAGGAAATCACTGGTATGTTAAGTGCAGTTCCTCACAGCTTGCTGATGGGACTTCCTGCCTTCTTTCTCTGTGGCTCTGCTGTGCTTTGCTCATTTGCTGCCTCCTTTCTCCTGCTTTGTCCTCACAGTGTCTCCCTCAAATCCCTGGGGGGGTGCAACCTCCCAGTGTAACTTTCTCCACCTATCTTGCATAGTTGGTTTATGTTGGTAGCTTGTTTCTGCTTTTCATAGAGGATACCTCAGGATGGAAACTCCCCTACATCAATAACCAAAAATCCTAAATTCAGCTGGTTTATTGATCTCTTATTGGAAAGCTTGAGCTGAGGTCTGTTCCTGGTGCTGAAAACATTCTCTTGTCTCCACAGGCCCAGTACTGTGGCTTCCTGTTCCGCCACGAGGGCTGGCCCCTGTGTGTCCACGAGAAGATTGTGATCCAGCTGGCTGCCATTGATTGGCGAGTCCTGAAGCCTGGTGACTTCTACCTGCAGGTGGTCCCCTATCTGAAGAAGTCCCCACGAATTGTGTTGAAATGTTTGGCAAAAGACAAGCATAATGTAGAGGAAGTGGTGATTCCAGAAGTTTCATATACCTCTATTTTCACTCTGGAATGGCTGAGTACGTTCAATGGAGAGCGGATGGGTATAGCACTGGAAAATTGTTTACTAACCACTGATGATAAAATATTTCGTGTTCCCTGGGATAAAGTGGTTAATCCTGAATTTATAAATAAACCAAAAATAATTGAAAACAGTATCATCTCTCCAGAAGGAACAGAGGATTGCTCAATTTTGTGCCTCCCCACGGACCATGCTGAGTGCAGTTCACCAGACCTAGGATCACAGTGTCTGCAGGAACAAAGTCCAAGTCGAGACAACCTGGCCATCAGCAGCACAGCTCCACAGCTAAGTGAAGCTCTTGTCAATGGTGTCTGTACAAGTCCTGTGCCTCAAGAGTGCTTGAGAAGTGACCTTGAAGGGGAGTACGTTGAGTTGTCAGAAGTTTCACTGCCCAGATTTGGGCCACAAACAGGCTCTTTAACCCAGTCGCTAGCTTTAAATTATCTAACTCAGCCCAGAGCACGAGTGAATGAGTCTAAAGGCAAACACAGGCTTATTGTCATACAAGACAGCACCTACTCCAAGAACTTAATTCAGTCAGCACTTATGCAGAAGGACCATTGTCAACTGGACACTCTGAGCACTTCTGCAGAAGTTCTCCAAAATGTCATTCCGTTGGAAAGCAGCAAAATGATGGCACATGGAGAACTGTCCCCAGAAGGTCAGCTGATATCAAATGATCCTGGAAACATGGGGAATAGTTTTGCTGTGGCTGAGTCTCCTGCCTGCAGCTCAGAAGATTCATCAGCAGAGCAGGAAACTCGCAGTGAACACTCACTTGACTGGCGATATGCACTGTGCAGCTACAGTGAGGTGTGTGCTGGAGATGGTGTCATTTGCAAAGCACAAATGCCTAGTGGTCCTGGAAACATGGAGGGAGAAGATGATGCACCCAGCAGAAATGCTGGCGTTGAAACATTGGAGCAGAGCCCAGAAACAATTCTAGATGCTACTGCTGCTAAAGAGGAGGTGGTGCTGGAGGTACACAGAGAACCACTGACCAAGGGTAAAAATGAGGTGGCACAGATAGATGCCTCTCCTGTGTCTGACCTAGGGCCTGCAGGACAACATTGCACACTGAAGGAAGATTCTGATGTCTCTTGCCAGAGTGTCAGTGAAAGTGTTGAGCCAGTCCAGGGAACTACATTGCCTGAGAGTTCAGATGCAGGTGTGGAGAGAGACTCTCCTTCAGGGAACATGGAGAATGTAGGTGCTTGTTGCAGTGATAAGGAAGCAAATCTTAGTTGTCCATTAAATCCTCCAGAACAGAACCAAGGAGAAGTAGATGAATTTGAGGTGGCAAGAAAGGAAAGCCAAGAGGAGGTCAAAGAGATTAAAGAGATACTGACTGTAAATGAGAATCAGACTAGTCATAGTCACTGTTCTGTCAAAGCTCCTATGGATGGACCTGTGTCAGATGGTGAAGAGCAAGAGCATAAGAATGCTGAAGAGGCTGTACTACTCCAAACCACTCTGTCAGCAGAGGGGGCTCATATGGCAGAACAGTTAAATAACAGTGACTCTTTGGGCCCTGATGCACAAGGAGAAGGCTCAAGTCAATTCAAAACCCAGAGGTCTGGAGAGAGGTGTGAGGAACCACAAAGGCTGGTGGAAAACCAGGGCCATGAAAGTGAAGAGAATTCTATGCTGAACCCAGAGCATGTTGCAGTACAGGACTTGCAGAGAAGAGAGGAGAACCAGGGATGTTTTTCTTATGGGGAAAAGTCAAAGATTGCAGCCTCAAAAACACTGGAATCTATTGAAGAGGAACTGGAGGTTGGACCACTGTCCTCAGGACCTGCTGAGGGCCATACAGAGCCCACCTCTCTGCACTCCCACCCAGAGGCAGCTTCTGGGGGATCATCTCCTAAAGGTACAGCTGTTGCATGTTTGTCTGTTTGTCTGTTAACGTGGCTCAAAAGCAAAGTCCTCAAGTGGTGCCACTGATAAGTACATCTACTGGGAGTCTTTGGGGTTACAGCTCAAACTACAGGTCATTTTTGTGGCTTAAAATTAGCTTTCTCTTCGCAAGTGGATTTATTGTGGTGTTTTGTTTAATAATTCTTAGGAAATTTACATATCTGTAGAATAGAGTTCCAGTATGAGAGACTTAATTTCAGTTAATCTGATTGCTGGTGATGTTGCACACAATAGGAGTGTGTGAGGAGAGAATGTCTAACTGTACAAGTCTTTTGTACTTCAAAACTGGCTTTAGGAAGTTGGTTGTGGCAAGAGGAAGCAGCAGTGGATGCCACAGTAAAATACTATCTGTGTAACGTGACCTGAAGATCACCAAACGTGTGTGCTGGTAGCCGATTTCAGCAGCAAACTGCAGAGTTGAGGGATTCCCCCTCTCCTCTCCCTTCCCCTCCGGCATGCTTTCTTCAGCTTGATTATGTTTCAAGTAGGAGCTGTTTAACTTGAGTGGGAAAGCACAAAGCAATTAGGTACCTAGCTTCCACTCAGATGGAGTGTTCAAGCAGGTATTGGCCAGGTTTCTTGATGTCTGGGTTCCTGTGCTGGAGCTGTGCTCCTGCAGAAGGAATTGAGTGGGCAATGCAGGTGTTTCTGCTGTTTGGTCCAGACTGTATGCAGGCAGCATGTAACCACATGGACATGATGTGGGCTTTGCCCAGCTCTGCTGAGTCTGGAAAGCTGTAGCTAGATATGCAGATCATGCTGAGGAGCGTGTGTGTGGCGGGGGCGGGTGAAACATGCCATTCCAGTTCAACAGCTCTCATTTCCTGAGACCCCTGGCTAGGAAAATTACCCAGCTTGAAATATTGGAGTGAGGACTCTTGAAAGGGTTGGCAGGACTTTGCTAGAGCATGTCTGACCCTGAGGGGGAACAGATCCAGAGCTGGTTGTCTTGGGCCGTGTGGCAGTGTAATGCTTGCACTGGTGCCAGGTGGCGTGGCCTAGAGCCTGTCTCACTGCTGCAGCCCCACTCCATTCAGCTGCACACACAGCTACCTTCTCATGTGTGCCACAGTCACATTTAACCTGATGTCTTAGTGAGCCCATAATGGAGCTAAATTAATGTCCATTGATTAAAATAAAATTTCATTAACATCTGCTCCAAAAGAATTTCATTCCATAGTTAGGCATGTTCATGGTTCCCAGGCATTTCTGACACTTTTGGGGTGACAAGCATATCTGTGAAGGGGGGTCGTCAGCTCAAAGGTTTCTGTTTCTGAAGTGCACCTCTCCCTGAGCATCTACCACCACAAGCAGAAAGAAAGAGAGCACCTTCTGCCTATATGTGGCTCTTGGGGAATGTATGCCAGGAAATAACTGTGCTGTGGATATCCATTCCCCTGCCCAAGCTGAACCTGGCTTGACTTCATGTTTGCTCAGGACCAGGCCTCGGAAAGCCTAGTCTGTGTTGAGTGCTGGGTGGACATGATTCGAGTGGCTGCTTGTTCAGTGTTCCAGTCTTCTGTCTAAAATTAGCCAGGTCTAGCTCGTTATGTGATAATAAGTGTGATGTTCTCGCTGCTCCAAAGAATGAGTCTTGGCTGCTGCTGGAGGTTTCAGCAATGCTGGACCCCTCTGGGGTATGTGTGGAGTTTGTTTTTAATGAAAGACAGTATAAACGATTCTGGGGCTTTGGCTGAAATAAGTGACATTCATGGCTTAAGGCTGCTGGTGTTAAACTTGAGCACTGCACTTAAAAATAACAACAACAACTGTTACCTCAGTGTTTGTATAGCGAAAGAAATAACCTAAATCACCAGGAAAACCACCCAAACTAACCAAACAAACTCTTTAAGGCAAAGGGCAGCTCAAATATTAATGCTGGGAGTATTTATTAAACACTATAGCTGGTACTATGATAAGCTGAATCCATTCAATTATATTTGATTGCTTTGAGATCCAAACAAGCCATCCCCTTATCTAGCCCTATTAAACCCTCAGAGATATACTAATAAGATAATTCAGAGATAAAATTACAAAGTGAAGCAAACTTTCCTAGCCAGGCAGTCTGTAGGTGAGTTAAATTCCCTGTAACTATGCCTTGCTGGGGTCATTTTGCTGCTAAGATTGGAAACTGTGGATATCTTGCCTAAACTATAAATAACAAAAAAGCTTAAGCTTTACTGGGTCAATTCAGATCTGCAGTTCACACCTCAGCAGCAGTGGGCAGAGGCACAGTTTGCTCTGTGTGAGGTGGAGGAGCTTGCTTGTTACAGCAGATATTGTAGATTATGTCAAAATACACATTCAGAACTGGGGCATCTCCATTTGCTGTGTCTGCAGGTTTTTCTTGTCCTTTAACTCTCTGCATTTCCTTTGACTCCCAGTGAGCTTATTTTCTGCACAAATATAGCTTAATTTAGAAAGACTTGGATATAAATAGAAATAAAGTCTCAGAGTCAAATGTGAAATGTTTAGAGTTGGTGGCTTAAAATTTACACTGGTTCCATTCACAGATAATGTGACTGCTGTTTTTTCCTAGTGACTAGCTTCTAAGTGAAAGTGAATTTTGAAACTTTGCAGCTCTGGAAAGAATTCCTCTATTTGGTGGGTAGAAAATAACTTGTTATTCAAGAAATGGACTAAAAAGCCACAGCAGGGCATATTCAGCAGCACCTGCTAGTTCCTGCTCCCAGTTACTAGGTGTTGTTAGCAGAGATGATCCTGGTGTGAGGCAGTTTGCAAGAAAAATGCTAATGTCTCTTTGAAATGCACACAAGCAAATCCTCCTCTACCACTTCCTTAACCTCAGGGAAAGGTGGAACCTGCAAACACGGCAAATTCAGATGTCCCTGTTCTCAATTTGCTTTTAGATGCAATCCTCCACATTCTCCAATTTCCGCTTTGGTAAGTGCCTCCACCCCAGATTGCGAATAACAAACAGGGTGCTTGGGCCTGGTCAGAGAGAGGTGGTGTCTGCAGGTCTGAGCTGGGCCCCAGAAGCTTGGCAAAGAAGTTCATTTGGGCAAGGTGTACATAATCTGGAGGGTGTACAGCTCCAGTATCAGGACTGTGTGTGGTGAGCTGAGCAAAGTGCTTCTCTCTTCCAGCTTTTGGGAGGTGCTGTCTGGTTCCTAAGAGATATCTGAGGCAGGGCTGTCATGTACATTTACATCTTTCTCTTGCCCTGGTGTGGTACCTATGTGGAACATAGCTAGCTATCTATGTTATCCTTTCTTGTCCTCTTTAAATGCCAACTTTTGGTCCTCTTCACAGACTGTCATCATTTAATGCAGATGTCTTTACTACAGTGTGGTTCTCCTTATTGCCAGACCTTAGAGCTCCTTGATAAGGTGATTCCGTGTTCTAGAAAGTCTGTCAGTCTGTGTGAATCATTTGGGCATGACTTACATCACTCTGTGATGCTCAAACTACCCTGCCTATGTCAGATCAGTGCCCCTCAGATGCTGCTTCAGGAAAATCTAGCATTGTTGTCTGATGTGGATGACCTCTTCTACCACTGGGAAGTGGAGGCTGAGGTAGTCCTAAGAACAGAACAGAGCTTTGGTGCACACAGAATTGGGCAGAGCCCTGAAGCCATCACAGCAGCTTATGTGGCCAAATGCAGCAGATGCCAAGCTGGGTACCAGGGATGCTCCTCAAGAGCAGTGTTACCAAAGAGTCATGACCTCGATGGTGCAGGGCCCTGGAGCCCCTCGTAGTTTCCCCCCACTGTTGGATAATTTGGCTTGGTGAGCCATGCTGCTTAGGGCACTTCTCTCACCCACTTTAGCAATTTTGAAAGCAGTTCGGGCTAAGCCTCAACCTGTAAATCTCCTCACTGCTAAAACTTGTATTGAAAGCCACTTCAAGGACTTCTTTGTTCCTGGTCCTGCTCTTTAATGAAGTATTGGAATCTGTTGGTAAATAAACTGAGTCAAGTGTCAGCATTGTTGATGCAGCAGGAAGGTAGGATGGTTGAAGTCAATTTTAAGTAGCAATTAAAATGTCTGACTTCATAGCAAGTGAATAAATACTCCACTCCTATTTTCCTGAAGAAAGGTTGATATTTTTGTTGGTAGATACTGAAGTATCAGGACTTGTAGTGAAGTGTAGCCTTTTCTTTAGCACAGCTTTCAGCCAAACAGTGGCATAGCCTAGCCATGTACTTAGGATGCTAAAGATGTATTGAAGATGTAGTGTGGGCTTCTAATTCTTGTGGTGTTGGGAAATGGGGAATAATACTTCTTACACAGTGGGTAGATACTTTTTTCTTCTCTCCAGATAATTTTACATGAAAATTGAAACTCGATTAAACTAGTCTTAGTTTCCATGTGGTAGCCAAGATATTTAATTTTAGAATTAACCGATCCTGATAACTTGTACTTTAGGGCTGAGCTGTCAGACAAAGGAAGCATTTTCTGTAGTTCTTGAGCAGGAGCTGATTGGTGCAATCATCCTGTTCTTCAGTGTTTTGAAATAGGTTTCTGACTTTCATATTAACTGTTAATTAAAAAAGTCTGGACGAGCAGAACAAGGTCTCTTTTGGCTAATTTCCAGCTGAGTTTTCAGCATCGAGTTGACTTCATATTTTCAGGAACTAATCTGAAAATGGTGTTGGGGGAGTAATTCTGCTCTGATGGAGTAGCCCTCCCTGTCAGAAGCTGGTTTATCACTTCAGCATGCTCAAGCTGCTGGAGCTCAGCCAGGTACTTGCACTGTGCCAGACTTCCAGGCTGTGAGCAGACATGTGCTGCTTGATATGTTACCTTTAAAAATGACTTTGACTACAGTAATCCTGATCTGAATTGAGCTTTTGTACTGTGCAAACTTCACAATAAAATGGTTTATTTTTTTAGAATTACAATGGTATTAATGTTATAACCAGTTTTGTAACATGCATGCTGCTGGCACGAGGACTGGAGGAGCTGCAGAGTGCTGGGGCTGGGGGCATGTCCCTCCCCAGCCTGGTGCTTACCTGGAGCCTTTTGGGTGGAGCTCTGATTGAGCTTCTCTCTGCTGCTTCTTTCACAGGTATGGTGTCAGAAGGGACAGAGACAAGAAAAGAAGCAACTGGCACAGATGTGTTGAAACCAGTGAGTAAAGTCAGCGCCCTGGAGGAAACTTTAGGAGCTATTACTCCCCCGACATCCCCAGCTTCTGGAACTGCCTGGGGTGGTCAGTTTGCACCTACCATAGTCAAAGACGTGAACCCAGAAGTGCTCAGGAGTGGAGTTGCCTACCTGCCTGGTGAGTAGCTGAGGCAGTATGTGTCTGGAAAGTGTGGTTTGTAGGAGGGCAAGGGAGATGAGCCTCTGTTTGCAGCGCTGGAGACTGGTGCCAGTTCCATTTCTATCACTCCAAACCTGTCCAGAAGCAACACTTCTTGAGTCCTTTAAAGTTTCTGGATGGTCAGGATAGGAAGTAGAACTTCCCTCCCATGAAAGTAACGTTAACTTACTCCTAGGAGTCTTGAAAGGTTAACCAAGCTCGTGTGAGTCAGAAATGCCAAATCTGTGGGCTCATACCAAGAGTTCAAAAAGAGAAGAGTGATGGTGCAGCTAATGATGGGCTGGTGGGCCTGACATCAGGCCTGGTTGGAACAAGAGGGACATGATTCACTTGGTAGATAATTAAAGGATAGGAGTGTAGAAGATGCTCTTTGACAGGGCTCTTTAAAGCCAGTTTTATGCTTGGTAATTAGAAGTTTGGTTGATTAAATGTAGCTACCTAGATATAAGAGATTTTTAGAAAACATTTGATTTCATGACACACAGTGTTGAAAAGAATATCCCAGTGAAGTGTGGATGAGCAATGTGTGGAGTGAACGATAGCACAGCTAAACAGCAGATGACAAAACTAGCTGTCAAGGGAGGCCTTCCCAGAATTGTTCTGCCGAGATCAGTTGTAGGTCAAACGTTATTCAGTGTTTGCATCTGATACAGCAGCAGGTATCAAATGGCTGCAGATAAAACTTCAGCATGGGACAAATATTGGCAGAGGGTGAACAAAGCTGAGGCTGTTGGACAGAGCAGCCAGGATTGCTTGGTGTGCAGGGCCCACACAAGAGGTCTTTGTGTTTAACCAAATATGAAGTAAAGCAGAGGAAGTGAGATCTACCTCTCCAGTGAGAAACAGCATTTGGCAGCATCTCTGTAAGGAGCCCCTGTGAGCCTGTGTCCTTCCAGAGCCAGCAAGAGGGTTGTCCAGTGTGGGGCAGGAAGATACCTGCATTTGATCAACTCAGGAGCCACATACGAGGTGAAAATTGGGCAGAGAGCAGAGAAGGTCAGGCAGGACCTGCACAGCATGGAGGAGTTGGGAAGGAGAGCAGAAGGGCAGCTCAGGGATCTCCCACTCAGTGGGAGCAAGACCAATTTTGACCTCAGATGTGTAAAGGGAAGGAGATGACTAGACAGATTCAGAGAGTGACTCTTACCTCTCTGTACTTGTTGGTGATGCCTCTCAAATAGTTTGGGCTGTGCTAAAAAGGAAATGGTAAATACTGGAGGTGGTGTAGAGAAAGGTGACAGCCCTTTTTGTAACTAAACTGGATGTCTTATGGCAAGAGAACAGAAGGTTGTTTATATTCTAAGATGATTGAGAAAGAGGTGAAATCATCGTTGTGCAAGGAAGGAGGAAAGGGAATTTAGACTTTACCAGTTTCTGGAAAAAGGTGAAATGAAAAAACAGGTCCAGAGTTATGGTATATTCAAACATGTAACCTTGCACTGGGAGGTGATTTGTTACAACACATTCCAAAGAAGGATTTCTAAATTTTCTGGTCTGCTGATGAGTTTAGATGTTTTTATGCTGTGTCTAACAGCCAAAAATTGCAGGGTTAGAGAGGGGTCTGTCAGAGAAACTCATAGTCTGTGCTATTGCAAGAGCCTGACCATGTGATCTAACACTCTAGTAATTCCCTTTGCCATGGATTCCTATCATCATATACCACTGTCAAATGAGGAAAATTCGTTTGAATGTGGGATGAAGGGATGTGCCCTTGAAGTGCAGTGAAGAAACAAATTTGGGGTTTGATACCATTTATGAGGGAGATTTTGTCTAAGGGAGGAATTATATTTTCTGTAAGAGCAGTATCAGGTTTGACCAACATCTCTGCTCCTTTGGGATTTCAGGGGGCAATCCCCACACTGAGGGAGCACACTCCACTCAGTTAAATGCTTTATGTTAGCCATTGGTAATGGTACAATAATCACATAAGAAAGAATAACTTCTATAATGAACAGTGAGTAAGAGCTAATTAATAAATTAGCAGTGGATGGAGTTAGCTGAAACTTTCAGGATGGTTTCAGTTCTGCATTCTGCTCTTGAGTGGTCTTGGTTATACTACTGCTGGAGACCTAGCCCTGGTGGCTGTGGTTGATTTTTTAGACCTGGACAGGCAATTCCCAGACTACTATGTGGAAGTTCAAAGTGCAGTCAAGTTCTGGTGATACCTGGCCTCCCTGATGGACAAAAGATGTTGCTTCAGATTTAAAAAGTTTTTACTGAGCCTGGTTACTGAGCCTTTTTTCCAGTATTTGAGTGCTTTGCTTCTTCTTCAGTTTATTTTGTGATGATCCCCTTAGCTTATGAAGCAAGGTAAATTAATAAGTTTTTTCTAATTTCTTCTGAGCTCTCTGATTATGCAGCATCCAGGCTACAGTATTTCAGCAGTACTAAAACTCCTGAATCATGCTGCTGATGAAAGATTTTTCTTAGCAGGAGAATGCCTATGTCACAGTTTTGGTCCTGGGAGGGAGAAAGCCCTGCCTCGAAATGGTGCCCATCTGTGTCTGTGGCCCTTGCTCAAGTTATGTCCCAGTGACAGATTGATATCACACTAGGGCAGTTTGCTGTCTTGGGGCTGTCCATCTGTGTCTGTTTTACCTGTCAACTCAGATGCTTGTCCCTGGGATGGGGAGAGAGGTGGTCCGGGACAGTGTCTCCTGTGGTAGCAACAGAGTAGAGAAGAAAGACACAGCTTTCTCTAAGTGTCTGGTTTTGTCTTGTGTTTGGGATTTTTTCCTCCTCTTTCTCATACAATTTGTGTGACAGGAAATGGCTCCTGTGCTTGTGAATTACTTTTCACACAATTAGAGGTATCGTCCCTAGTGTTCTCCAAATCACTGCCTGCATTTCGGTCGCAGAGGCAGCTCTGGGTCTCCAAAGTGGTGTGTCCACCTGCTCTTTACTGCGCCTCTGCATCAGGAGAGGAGGCTGGATGTAATTCCTGAGCTGGTACTGTTATGTCCTTCTCCTGTGTCTTTGGGTTGTTGGAAAATGGCTGGCAAAGAAGTGTTGTCCTTCCTGGCTAACTGAAGCAGAGCCATTTCTCCCTTTTCAGCGTATCACAACTCAGCTGTGTTGCCCATACTGTGCCTTATCTTTTCCTTGGGCACTGAGCAAGCTCTGAAATTAGTGAAAGCTTAGCACCAACTGTCCTTGTCAGAGCTGTTGGCAGGCAAGAGTGTGCTCCTGGGCTGTCCTCTGCAGCCTCTGAGCAGCATCCTGCTCCAGGGCTTTGCTCCCAGGGGGAGATGTCTGCTTACATGCTAGGCTCAGCCTGCAGTGTGGGTGCCCAGTCTCATTGTGTACTGCATGTTCTGCTGGCCTGTCTGTGTTCTCTCATCTGACAGCAGTGTGAATATTTTAACATAAGAGAAGGTGAGATTATTTATCTTGAGTTTAAGAGATTCTTGCTTTTCTCACAAGTTTGGGTTATCTGTAGCCAATTTCAGCCATGTTTATGAGGAACACGTGTTTGGGTAGAAGGGAGCAATCCAAATGTAACACTTCCCTGAGAGAAAGACAAGCAGAGCTCAGATGCTTTACTCTGGGACTGCATTTGGGTAGTTTGGAAGTGTGTTTACAGTCTACTGCCACTTGCATCTACACTATATCAAGTTCTGTGGAGGACTTCCAAGAAGGGGATGGGGTGGTTGAAGGAGAACATGAGGCATATACACCTGGAACTAGGTTCTGTTGACTTCCTTTTGTGACTTTCTCCCCTCCTCTTTTTACAGGTACGAGAGATAAAATGGGACGTGCAGTGGCCATAATAACGACGAGGAACACAGCCTGGTTAAACCCCCACTGCAATACCACTGAGCTCGTGCGCCTTCTGCTGTACTTGCATAGCATCCCAAGGTTTGTGACACTCTTGGGCTGCTGGGGTGGACAGATGCTGCCCTATCTGCTGTGCCTTTTGGGAAGGTGGGAATTGAGGCAGTGAGTGGAAGAGGTTGACTTTATTTGCCTAGGAACCTGATCCAGACAGTCCTTAAATTTATACGGATGGGGATCTCCTGCTAGGGTGAACAGACTTGTGTTTAGTAAGCACTTTGCCTATTCTATATATGCCTTATGGACACAGTGTGACAGAATTGTGTATGTACTGAATGTTTTCATGCTTTGCCATGAATCCAAGCCATTCTTGCTATCGTTCATTAGCTCAGAAAATGGGATTTGGGAGCTATGATGGGGTAGTCATGCAGAAGCTTTGTGATAGTGTGGTGACATGATATTTTAGGGCCAGGCCTCCAAGATGAGAGAGAGGGAGGATCTGCAAGGGTTGGGAAAATCTGCCTTGATGTCTGGCTGACAGTTGTTTTTGGAGTCTGCAGGCTGGAGCTTGCTGCAATTACTCTTCCTTTCACTATGACAGTCTTCCTCTCCAGCTCATCACTTTGTTTCACTTTTAGATGATTAAATAATAAGAGGTAAAGATAACTCTGAAGGTGATTCTTTCGTTTTTTGAAGCTTTTAAACCATTGATAAAGGGAGCAGGCTTAACTCATGGGAAAGTTCCTGCTACTCATGATTTGTTTCTTATGCTTCTCCCTTCAAATGGAAATAGCAAAGGTGAAAACTGTGGAATCTAATGGTGGTTTCTGTGTATATATTTTGGTTAGGAAAAAGTGGCTAGTTAGTTCCCTGTCCTTACAAAGCCATAATGTACTGGATTTTTTCACCCTGCCATGGTTATGAGTTCTGTCTCCATAATCTTGTTGATTTTCATTGATGACAAAGGTGACCTTTTGATCTTTGTCCTTGCAGACCAGAATGTCAGGCTTTGGGTCTAACTGTTCTTGTGGATGCTCGTCGCTGTTCACCAGTTCCTGCTCTCTTCAAGGCATTCAGCATATTGCAGGTGAGCCTTGAGCTTGGGCAGAGGAGCACTAGCTTGGCTTGCTGTTGTGGTTGGATACTACATCTCCATCTGCTGCTTATGTCTCCATCTGCTGCCTGGATTTCAGTTGGCTTTGGGAGGTGGAGTTATGCACCCAGCCCTGCTTTGGGAGGATGACCTGGACTTGCCAGACTGCAGACAAAGCAAAAAACCTAAGCAAGGCTGAGTTAGGGGAGAACACCCCTCCCCATCCCTCCAAATTTGCTTTCATCTCGGTGCTGAGAACAGCTTGTACCTAGGTCTAAATGTTGTCATCAATTATCCTGCCTGGGGATGCTGTCCACTGCACTGCAGGTCTTTGTGAAATATGCAGGGATTTTTGCCTTCCACAGAGAAGGGAGGATGAGAGGCCTCTGCATGCTGCTGAGGGGAGGGAAGGACACTGCCATACCAGGTGGAAGAGCACATGCAGCTGTTGATGTTGCTGTCGGTGAATGATTGGAATCGGACATGCTGTAACTCTATATTGCTTCAGGTCAAAGGCTTGCATATCAGTCACTTGGAAAGCTGGTGGGCTGTGTTGCCCCTGCTCCCAGACAGAAAATATCTGCTGCTGTTAGAAAGCCAGGGAGATGCTGGGTTGTAGTGATGATTAATCTTGTTTAAGCAGGTGTTCCTTTTAAATCAGAGCTTAGGTCTCTTAGGACTCAAACTCTGCAAACTGGAACAGGGCAATGTTTTAATGAAGCTGATGTCTGTGGTTTATGTGCTTCAGTGCCACATCTGAGAGTTGGGTCTGAGTCAGAGGTCTGTCCTCCTGCTTCCTGGGCTGGGTGGAGCTCTGAGCTCTATCAGCCTACTCATTCTCTGTGGGGAAGGAATAATCTGGTGCCCTGCTGGGTTCTGCAGAGGTAACAAGCAAGTATATTCTCTTTTATGCTGTGCCTACATGGCAGCAGGCTTGCTAAAGCATTTGAGCATTTCATTGCCCATGTAAATTGCATGGTGGGCATAGTGGAAATCAGCAACGTGTTATGGCTGTCCCCACTCTCATGTAAGCATGATGATAATTCCATTTTAGCCATGAGTTTTCCACTCTCTGAAATGAGGGACGGGGAGAGCTTTTTGCAGTGCCTCTGTAATCCTGCTGTGATGCCTGTTTGGCTCTGAGCACCTTGTTATCAGGGTGGTGCAACAGTTAGTGAACAGGGATTAATGTGCTGGACCTGAGCGTGTGCTCCAGATAACAGTATCTGACAGAGACTGATTACTCTGCTTATGGTTTTTTTATTCTTATGCTGACTCTTCTGAAGACTCCATAAAGGAGACCTGTTCAGGTAGCTCATCATCTTATTATGGCACAGGAGTAATCTGCTGCCTCCTCTGAGCCTTTTGGAGATTACCAGCACTTCTGTGATGCTGTGGCAGTACTCTGCTCTGAAACAAGGAGAGAGTAATACAGAAAACTGAGTGCAACTACAGTAAGGCAAGCTGAGTGTTCCAGAATGCTGCAGGGTTTGCTGGGCAGTGGCTGCAGAAGCACAGACTATGTGTGTTATGCCTCTAAGGTCACACAGTACATCATCTCCTTGGGGTCCTTTCTGAAATCCCTGACACATCTCAGTCTCTTATCTCTGGTGGACTCTCTGGAGCTCATTTCTCTGCTGTCCTGCACTCTACTTAAACAGGATTTTACTTATGTGACTTTTGTGAAGCCTACTACGATATTTTGGGTGAAATCTGTTAAATCTTGAGGTCCAGCATTGCTTGTTCAATTTTGAGGGGTTATTTTCCCCTTGACTCAGCACCAGGAGCACTGTTTGACAGTGGGTAGGCACGGATTGGATGCCCTAGTGCAGAGTCCCTTCCTGCTGCAGTGGTCGTATCTGTTAAGCTTACAGAGACTCCTGGGGAGCAAAGGTTCCCGGGTCAAGATCTCTCTGTCTGAGTCAATCCTTCTTCCACTTCTCCATCTTTCCAGAATGAATATGTGAATGGAATGAAGTGCTAATAGGCAACTTTTGGTGCTTGCAGGTACTTTTCCCTACCGCTGTGGGAGACTGTCAGTTGCTCTGCCTAGAACTGGTGGAAGCTTCTTGCTCTCTCTGCCTTCAAGATGGGGGCAGTTGCATTCTGCAATACCTTTTTTTTTTCCCCTTTCTTTTTTGAAATATTGGGTATTTGGGAGCTCTTTCTGTCCCAGACAGCAGTGGCAGCAGAGGGAGGTGTGACAGAATAAAGTGCTACTGCAGAGCTAACTCGGAAAGAAGCAGGAGGAACTCTGGTAGCAGCGTGCAGATGTGAAGGGAAATGCACATGCTGCAAGAATAGATCCTGCGTGTTCCTGTAGGAAACTGTGTAATGATGCTTTGGAGCAAGGATTTTTGCAGAGTAAATGCTGTGATGTTTGGTCAGAGGTTTTCACCAGTAAGCTCTGTGCTGGGGGGCCAGTTGAGAGGGACTTTGTTGCTCAGTAGTGCTGGGCTCATCACTTGGTCAGTGAGCAGGCAGGGCATGGACAGTGAAATGTGTGCAGTGGCCTTCAGTGAGTAGAGGTCTGTGGATTTTCCCCCTGTCTGAGTCTTTATAGAGTGATATTCTTTTGAATTTCACTTATTGGTTCAAATGCTTATGTGCTGAGGTACCCCTGTAAACTGTTTCTATCTTTGGATTGCTCCATCAGTGCTGGATGAGACTGACTTCAACTGTTAAATGAAAAAATACAGTGAAAAGTACTTAATTTCTTTGGAAATACAACAACTTCTTGGATTGGAAAACCTTGAGCTTCTCCCTGACAACTTTATTTGTGAATGGTTTTTCAGTTTCTGTTTTAGGAGTAACAAACAAGCGAGTGAGTGGTTTGGCTGTTGTGGTAACCTTGTGTTATACCATCACTACCTTTATCCCTCAGATTGCACAGCTCATGACTGTTGGGGTAGGAGAGGGATTGTGTAAGAATAAATTTGTTTAGTACCATCATCTGTCTTGAAGATGTGTCTAGTCTTCATCCTTCAGTACCTTCTAGTAGATAAATACAGAGCTGCTGGTACAGCTGTAATATCTTCCCATCCTCTCTTCAGATGACCTTCAGTATTTACCTAGGGCAGCCTAAATATGCAATGAATTCTTTTTGGCTTTTTGATCAGTGTTTGAGTAACAGTGAAAGTGTGAATAATTTGCTTTGGAGAAAGGGATTTGAGAAGAATTAGAGACCTCTCATGGTTTTGAAAAGTGTTTCAGCTGGGATATTTTCCTGCCTGCTTAAATGAATCCTGGTTTAGGATTGAATGAGAAAAAGGTCTTTTTCTTCTGTTCTGGAATCTGCTGCTGCTTTCACTTGCAGAATTGGGTCTCCTTGTGCTGGCATTGTTTCTTAATTGCTGGTCTGGGCCCAGTGTCAGGTTGAGTGGCTCAGTCTCTGCTGGTCTACTTGCCTCTGTACTCTGACTCTGCTGTTCCTGGCAGGTATTTAACCCTACACACTGCTGGAGGCCTTAAACAGCTTTCCTTTGCTGTCATGGCCTGCTGTGTGGCAGGTTCCTTACAGCTCAAGCAAGGAAAGGAAAGGATTTGTTGCTTGACAGTTTCTGAGATCTTTGCAGAGCCAAAGACCATCCAGGAAACATCCAAATGGGATGGCTCTTGTTTTACCTTGTGGCACAACAACTTAAATGGCTCTTCTTACTGTCCTGGCCCAGGCATCACATATGTAGTGAGCCTTGTCTCCATGGTCTGGATCTTTCTGCCACGTTTCCCTCTCCCTACTGCGGCTCTCTGTGCCTGTTTCTCACTTCCCTGTAGAATGCTTCTACAATTGGAGAGCTGCTCCTGGATCGCTGAGTTTGAAGTACAGCTGCCAGACATCCCTTGTATTTGGAATTTCTGCTGGTTTAACAGTAGAAACAGGATGCAGGTACTTGATTGTAAATTGGCAGTCAGTAAAGATGAGACATTTTTGGCACCCTGAGGGGGGAAATAAAGCAACTTCCTTTCAGTTAGGTGAAGTGACCAAGAAAGTTATCAAGAAAAAACTTGGATACTGGACATGGTATTTGGTTTGGTTTGGTTTTTTTCTGTTTCTGGGTTGTTCTGATTTTTTTCCCTGACACATTTTCCTGTGTAGAAGACAGAATTTTTTTAGTATAGCCATGACCTGACCTCTTTGATTGCTTCCTTAAATATTGCAGGACTGGTTGATCTGAAGGAAACTACCTTAAGGACATTGCATTGGTGCTCTGTAGACTCTGTTCCCTAATTCCTGGTGACTGCCTTCTGGGCTTCGTAGGTGCCTTTGAAGGATAAATTGCAATCTTATGTATGAACCTGGTATGGTACATTCTCCTTAGCATCCCAGGCAGATCAGTAATGGATTTGTGCTCTGATCTGTTTTCTGCCATCTGTAGGACATGGATTCTCACTGTATACATGGAGTACTGCTTCTGGTTGAAAGAGATCTGACTTTTCGGATGGAGAAGCCACCAGCAGGACAGGTAATGGAACCCTTTGCCCAGGGCTTGCTGTGGAGCTCCTGAAATTCTTTATTTAACTGTCCAAACAGCAAATCCTCTGTTATTGGTGCACGTTTATTCTCTGTAGCTGTCCTCTGTGTTTTATGGTTGTGGTCTCTTACGGGTGTGGTATTTACAGGGTTGTGATGTTTATGTGAGCTGAGCAGATCTCGGTCATGCTCCGTTTATTGCCGAGTCCATCAGTGACATTTGTGGCATAATTACATCAGTCTGTTGGGGCCCTCAAGGTGCAGAGGGTTTGTTGGGAACATGGAGAGCTGTGTGGAGGAGCCCTGCACAGTTCACAGTAATAGTGATGCTTCTCATGTTCTCCTGTTAACAAGGTGAGGAAATCCTTGGTCAGGAAGAGATCACATTAGGCTAAATCCTGAACTCCACTTTTGGAGGTGCTTGTTGTTTTTCTGGATTTTGCATATCTCGTGTTTCCTTTCCTCATACCTGCTGCTGTCAGCAGCTGAGAGACTTCTGCAAGAAGGTGAAGAGGAAATGGCATTTGTGTGAGATTCCCTTTGCAGCTGAAATGTCTGGGAAGAGGAAGGAAAGTTACCACATCACTGAACATCCCCACTAGGAATAAATCTACCTTAGTATGCCATAGCTGCGTAAGAAATGTAGGCTCACAGCCTGTGCTGAGTGAATGGAGGATCAAACTGTATCTTAATCCTGTTCCTCTGCTCTAAGACTGTTGCAAGCTACAAGTTTGGACTGAAATTCTGTGCCTGCTGAAACCCATAGGCTTCAGAGTAGGCCAGGACCTCCCTAAGGCTCCTGTGGATGAAGGCATCAGGTTTGCTGTGGGTGTGGTGTGGTGTCCCAAAAGGCCAAAGAATATCAAATGTGATTAGTCCCATTTCCTCACTACCTTCATTTGAAAGAATTTGGACTTGGAATGGGGGCTGCAGGTGTGTGCATGCAGAGACAGCTACAGAAGGCATTAAACACATTGAACAAATACAGAGTGTAGGAGGGAACAGAAGAAAGGCTAATAATGACACAGGCATGCAGGAGGAATTGGAAGCATCATCACTATTTTGTAAGGAGATGGAAACTTCACAGCATGTATGTGGGATTTAGTGTCTGCACCTGAGTTTGTGTCTGGGCTGGCTTCCATGTACCTGCAGGAGCACTTGTTGATCTGGTGAGTATAAAAATGCTCTGAGGTCCTACAGACTTGCAGAAGGCAAGCTATATGTTTCAGGATCCGGGAAACTCTTGGAGCAAATGGCTGCTATGATGAGTGAGGAGTTGAGGGCAGGGCAGAGACTGCTCTGTTAGACTGTTTTTCCAGGAAGTGAGATGGGGAAGCTGGGGGCTGGATTTAACCTCCCAGATTCTCCAAACAAATGCAACACAACGTGGGAACATGAGGGAGTTGCTCTGCTTACACTAGGAGGTACTGGCTCTGGAGAAGGCTGGCTGCTGCCAGACTTCATCACAGATGTTCTGCCTGGTGAAAACAGCGTGTTGTGGCCTGCATTCCTTCAGGGTTTGTTCTCCCACTGAGCTGTTCAACAAGATGCTCTGAGATTGAATTGATTTTTTTTCTCCCCCTTCATATTGTAGTGATATTGCAGATACACACAGTGTGCTGCGTTTCTGTGCAAGATAGATAAAGAAATGAAGGATTCTGTCTTTTGTTAACCTTCCCCTCCTCCTCCAATACTCACATCCTAATGCAAGTGTGCTTTATATTTTTCTTCTCTTCCTGTGCAGTTTGAACTTCTCACCTCCATGAAATCCCTCCATAAGCACATAGACAGCTCACAGCTGCCCCTGGAACTGGATGGGACCTTCCCTTACTGCCACAGGGACTGGTTAAGCTTCCGCATGGTGAGTAGAATGTCTTGTGTGCTTTGGGATCTGAGAGAAGCAGCCACATGGTAACAGAGTGGAAGCAAGAGGAACCTGTCAGCAGCTGACAAGCATTAAAAGACAATATTTCTGCAATACCTATGTGTGCAAATGAATCTCTGTCATCAAAAAATGCCAATACTGTGTTCACAGAACAGGTGCATGCCATGGCCTATTGGCATGACTGCAGGAACTAAAATGTTAGCTTTTAACTCATCTTCTTGAACTGCATTATTTCTTCCTTCCCTTCAAAATAAGGTCAAATCTGAAATGGAATCCTGTTTTGCTGTGGTACACAGTGGTTCTTTAGTTAAAAAAGTGTCTGCCCTTAATCCTCTGCATGTAACTGTCTCAGGAGAAGTGTTAGTATCATGTTGCCAGTGAAGTAAGAGTCAAGAACTTGAGCATAGTGAAAATAGTTAAATCTTTTAGGTTTTGGAGCAAATTCCCCAGATTAAGCTATGAGCCCCTCAGTAAAAACTGCAGTCCTTGCAAGAGTGAGACTTGAAAGTTCCTGATAATCAGTTCAGATACTTCTAGGAGTATATTTTTCCTTCTTTAGATATAAATGACTTATTTACCAAAGTTATCAAGAGCTCTTTAGAAAGCATTCAAACTAAAAATACAGAGAGAGTTCAGCCTGCAGAACATGTGGATACTGCAACAAGTCTGCAAAGGCAGCATCTGTGGCACCAGTACCCAGCTCTATGTACATTTATGCTATGGAGGGAGCATAAGTGCTGTGATCCATGTGCTTTTGAATCTCTAAAAGCTGTATTCAGAGTTATTTGGCATGCTGAGACTAGACAGGATTAAATCTCTGTAAATCTGTGCACAAGTTGGCTGTCTTCACATTGAGTTTGACTTGTTCACTCTGGCAGATGACAGAATTGTCACCTCAGCTTCCAGAGGATCCAGTGGTCTTTTGGCTCTGCTGCCCGGAGTGCTGTGCAGCATTTGATACAGATTAAGATGTCATTGATAACACCACTCTGTGCTGGTGGCAGGATTCAGCAGTTAGGCTTGGCATGTGCCAAATGTTGACTTATGTTTTCCAACTTATTTTAGAACCCATTTTTTAAACTTTCGTCTTAAAGTACTCACATGAACCCATGTTGAGGGTAAAGAAGCCTAATCTCAGTGCCTAGGATTGAATTTGAGAAGCTGATGTTTGTTGGGCAGTGAAGAAGCAGAGAAACTTTGCAAGAGGTTATGGGTTAGTTTTCTGGACAGAGTTGAGAATACCTTGAGAGCTGAGGAACTCTGTGTGTGCAGAAGGGTAATTCTTGAAGGGAGGAGCACGGTGTCAGGTTACTGGTTGTTTGTGTCTTACATGTCAACATGTAAAACGTTACCAAAGGGAGTTGGTATGGGAATCAGTCTGTATGGATTCCCTGTTTATGCTGTGCGTGATAGTGACCCATGTGTTCAGCCCCTTTAGCTCTGCAACTATGTGGCAAACAGCCTTTATTTCCTGTCTTGGTGATCTCACCTGCATCCTGCCTGATCTGTCACTGCTGGGACCGTTCCAGCACTCTGGGGAGGAGGGAGTTCAGGAAAGATTCAAACAGCTGCTTTTTGTTTTGGGCATGGTTGTTTTGGAATAGCTGTTTCTCCCTTCTCTGATTTTAGTGGCTAGAGGGTGGCATCTGACAGTATTCAGGCTTTATATCACTGACTTTTCTGAAAAATACTGGCCCATGAACCTCTGTGAAATGTTTGGACTCTGTTTGTTTGTTTGTTTGTTTGCTTGTTTGTTTGTTTTTCTCCCCCCTTCCTCCCACTCCAAAGAGAGGAAGGATTTCAGATTTGTCCGTAGTTTAAGGTGCTTAATTTTGGAAGTTTTCCAGTTTCCTCATCTTTAATTGACACTACTTTTAACACAAAGAGAAATGATTTAAAGTAGAAAAACTTCAAGTACTTGTTTTGGTTCTCCAAAATTCATGCATAGTGATTCATCTTTGTGGGAAGTTACAGGAAATGTGAGTAGTAGAAGAATGTGGGATATAAGTGGGCTGATTTTCTTTTCTGTAGAGCATGACCCATCCAAGCACAAGTATGCAAGTTTGTAAGGTCTGCATAGAGGCCGTGGTGTAACGTGATGCATCTGAAGCCTCTGCTGGGCCTCTCTTTGCTGATACAGCCTCAGTGAATGATATAATTGATCCCCTGGGTTAAAGGATTTGATCCTCTCTTGATTTTTGTACTTTTAAGCTTCTGCAAACATAAAAGACACCTTTCCTGTCAGCCATGAGACCGTAATCTCTGCCTTGGTCCTTTCTTCTTGTAGAAGGTGGAACATTTACTGCAAGGATGCCAAGGTGCTTGTGCCTTCCTTCAAGGAGCTATTCATAAAGTGGAATCTGGAAAATTACCAGAAAAAGCTGAGGTAAGCATGTCCCTCACTTTGCATCAGAGGTGGATCTGAGGCAGAGGAGAGCAGGAGGCTGGATAGCTGCAGAAAAGCTGTAGCTCTGAATTTACAAGCTGTAGTAGCAGAGTATTCTGAGCACTGTGTCACTGAGGAGCTGTTAGGACAGCAGGACTAGTAGAAGCTAATCCAAATGAAGTGATAGAGGCATCGGTGGGTCTGGAAGCTGATTGTCTGATCCCTCAGTGTACCCAGGAGATCTTTGCTGCTGGGCTTGTTGCTGATGAGTGCTGGCTCTAGCACTGGAGTGTATTCTCAGGAGCTCCACATCTCTGTACCTGGTATGAACTTTGGTGTGACTAGTACAGAGAGCTGCCTTGGGCCATACCACACCAGGTTGGCTTGAATGGCCTGGAATAAAGTTAGGTGATGGCATAGTTCACCAGGCCAAGGCTGTGCTGTAGTTCCAGCTTTGCTGCCTCCAGAACAGAAGTTTGGAAGTGAGCAAGACAGGGAAGGTACAAAGACCAAGCCTGTGTTGTCACAGAAGTTCTATTCCCCATCTTAAGAAGCTGCAATACCCCAGTATGGTAGGAAATTGCTGCCAGCTCTGCACTGCAGGTCCCAACAGTAAATCATTGGAAGATGCCATAGTGGTCTCTCTGGGCCTCCTGTATATCCACAAACCCTTCACATGCATCTTGTCCCAAGGTTTGGAGCCATGCAGATCCAGGCTGTCAGAACAGTAGGAGCTAGCTGTGAGTGGAAAATGTGCTCAGTTAGTGAATGAAACAGCAGTGATAAGAATTGAGTTACAATTTTAGCCTGGTGGGAAAAGTATCAGGAGCATAAGGAGCACTGTCGATCACTTTAGACTTCACAGGGTTGGGAAACAGCTGTGGGAACCAACTTCCCCCTTTCCTAGGGTGGGCCCAGGTGAGATGTGGTTTGAGTGTGTTTTGGGTTGGATGCTGGGTTTTGCCTGTAGGTTGCAGTAACTGCTTCTCTCACTCTTGCAATCCCTCCAGGATGCAGCTGTGCTGCTGAGGAATTACAGGCAATTGATGAAGAATGTTCTTGAAGACACACGGCTGGTCAGGCTGCAGCTGGAGGGTGGAGCGCTCCTGGCCAGGCTGAGGAAGGAGGAGTCTTGTGTCACCCTTACCCAGGACTACAGGTGAGCCCCAGGAGTGGGAGAAGAGGAGGTAGAGATGAGCAAAAAACAGGCACTGGGAGTTTCCCTGATGTCCCATCGTTGGCACAGGCTAGAGAGCAGCTTCGTGTTGTGAGGAATTGTGTTGAAAACAGCAAAGGTGAAAAGCGTAATTAATTCTACTCTTATCCTAACTGCTTCTTCCCCAGTCCACAAACTTGTCTGGGTGGATTCACTAAGATGGTCAAACTTCCTTTTTCAAGCCAAATCAGACTTATCTTCTGTAGTGGAGAGAGAGCTGGATATTTTGTGCACCTTTAAAACACAAGCCTTAATTGATGATGCTAGGAATGAATGTTTAGGTCCAGGTCATTATCGCTGTGTGATTTCCCAAGGCATTCCTTATGCAAGGGGATTTCCAAGGACCTTAACTGTGAGGAATGCTTTCTGGCTGCAGCAAACCCTGATCTCCGCACACATTGGTACAGTTTGCACAAACAAATACTCTGCCCGTTTGCAGGGTTGGTATGAGAAGCAGGGACTGAGAGAGCACAGCTGCTCGACATCTCCAGGGCATTGCACAACTCGTGTTTGTACTGTTAAAACACCTGAAGCCTATCAGCGTGTGAAGGCCTCTGTGCTATGTGCTGTGCAAACAGCAAGGTAGAAATGCAGCCTTTGCACCCCCTGGAGCTTCCAGCCCCAGTGTGAGATAAGCACTGGCATGTGGGTGCAGATGAGGGCACAGCGGGTGGCAGGGCGGTGTGAAATGGCTCTGTGCATCCACAGCCTTGCTCTGGTTAAACTCCCTGTTGCCATCATAATCTGGGAGGTTTGAAGGGAGGGACCAGAGAGAAGATAACAAAATAGTAATGGATTATCTCACCAAAACACTGGGAAAAGAACAGCGTTTCTCTTTGAAAGTTCAGCGAGTGACAGTGCAAGTTGCTACCTGTCACTGGGAGAAGGGGGTTGACATTTCAGTGTTGAGAGGGGAGTGTGGGGACAGGCTGTGTCACTGTGTCTGTTCCCTGTGCCTCCTGTCAGCAGCTCTTGCAGGCTGTGCAGACACAATTGCTGAACTGGTGAAGTAATCCTGATGCAATTTTGGATTGAATTAGTACAGTATAGTCTTTTCATTCTCACATGACACGAGAAGCACAATAATGCGGGTTGTTGTGGTTTGTTTAGTTTTTTTAATTATTATTTATTTTATTTTAAGCAACACAGCAACTTTAGAGCCCTAGGAGAATGGGGAAGAACGTGCATGGGTTTTGTGTTTTGTTTTGTTTTTAAGCTAAGCCTGTGTTCTTGTTCAGGGCAATGATCAACTTTGAAACCCGATCTGACAGAGCCCCTAAGGATAATTTACTGCTTTGATTACCTTAGCAAGGGCAGGGGTGGGGGATACACACAGAATTCTTTGATTGTACAGTGTTTGAGTGCATGCCGAGGCTGTGTAGCATGTTCTCTGCTTGATTCAGGTTATATTCATTGCCTGCCAGCATGAAAGGAGACTGCATGCTCAAATATACGTGGCTCTCTCCAGCCTGAGAAGCATAAACGAACATAACAGGAGAAAGTTAGTTTTCTTCTAGCCAGTGGAGTAGTTGCAGAAAGTAAAATCCATGCAGTATTTTAATTGAGGAAATGCCTGCTTTTCATCTAACTTGGGGCAGAGGACTAACGAAATCTACACTTCCTTGTTCCAGGATCCTTTCAAATAGGGGAAAAAAGCTCTATCACTTGGCTAGAGAACTCTCTATAGCACACTGTTGGTTTTGGGTCCTCCACGACTCTGCACTTGCTCCTTCTTTCCGGTCTGGTATGCAGATATTAAAGGTTCTGAGCACTGCTAACCTTGTAAAGACTCCTATGGTTATGATTTTCAAAGGCTTCTTTAACAGATAGGATCAAAGCAGGGTAAATACAAAATATTGTGGTTGGCCTACTAAGCTAGTGTGGAGAGGCTGTTGACATCCGTGGGTCCAGTGTTCGATTTCTAGCTCGTGATGTGTGGAAAAAGAACCGGACTGGCTCTGTGTGCGCACCCAGCAGGGCCTGTGGTACTGCTGTTCTGAACTTTGTATTGTAAAATCTTGATTAATGAGTAACAGCCTAATTCCACACCTACTTTCCCAGTACTTGAAATCAAATTATTTACAAGAGCAAGTCCAATGGTTTCACTCTTCTGAGCTACCTTTTGGTTCTTGTGTCTATCATGCGTCTCATTGTTACAGTTTTTATTCTCTCTTGTGGTACAAAAGCCTGATAAAACAGTCATAACTACCAGGATTTCTTAGTCATAAGTTGAGGCCAGCTGTGAACAGGTAACTGTCCAAATGTGCAATAATTACATATAAATAGAAGAAAAAATTTAAAAGCAGTTTTCTAGACTCTTATTTCCACATAAGTAATATATGCCAACCAAAAGTGCAGAACGAAAGGTAAAATTGTGGTTTTCCTTAAGAGGCATAAAGAAGACAAGCCCAGCTGTACCATCACTTTGGGATTAACCAAGCAAGAGATTGCCTTGCTCTTTTTTGAGGTGATATGTTTTTTCCATCTCTCACAAATTAGTTTCTTGCTAGTTTGTGGCTTCATGTGTCAGAAAGAACACCAGGAGTGGGTAAGAATAGAGATGGACAAACCCGTCTGAAAATGCCTGACCACAGGTTGGAGGTTGTAAGCTAAAATAGGCAAAGAATAGCATGTGCTCTGTGCAGTCAGATGTTATCTGCCAAATACCTTTCGGGAGCACACAGCAAACAAGACTTGCTTTAGTCTTTCTTTAGTAATGAAACTCTTCCCTTGAGGTTGGTTTTGGCACCTTTCCCTGCTCTGCCCTCCTGGAGGGCAGAGGTGCCCTTTGGAGTGTTTTGTGACACAGAGCAGTGGGATCTCATTGCTGCTCAGGTCTGACCCAGGCTTTGCAAGGCTTTGCTAAACTAGTGCCACAACTCCTTTCCTGCAGAAATTGAACTCATCCCATCAGAGTTGTAGGCATGCATGAGACCATATGTTGTGGTCCATCCAGTTGTTTAAGAGCCTCTGTGAGTCTTTCCTGGATAGTCCCATCCTGTGAGATGCTGTAGCACCATAGCAGTGGCTTTGACCAGTAGCTCCACTCACAATGTGAGCTGACCAAGAGTCTTCATACTCCTTTTTCCACCAAGCACACTGTAAAAAATAGCCTGGCCCATCCAGCTGTTTATCCACAAAGGAAGAGACAGACTTCTCCAAGTAGTCTTTCTGGAACTCTGCCTTTTCCCAGCTTAGCAAGGAGGAGCTCAGTTACCAGAATACACATCCTGCAGGCAGCCCATCACAGAGTTCGCTTAGGGGGATAAGGTGTGCTTAGCTGGTCCCTGACTGTTCCCCAACTTTCAGGAAGACCAGGCTGGATTTTGCCTGGTGTTGATGTGGGTGTGGCACTGATGAGCCATATCTTTGTGGCGCCTGTTAAGTGGTGTAATGAGAGCTTCAGCACGGACTGGCCACCCAGAGGTGCAGTGGGACTGCTCAAGGTGGCATTGCTACTTATTCACTGTTGGTGGAGCTGGCTGGATTTAAAGCCAGCACATTTCCTCCACACCATCTGCTGCACTGAGGGCTCAGTGCTTCTCCAGTTCTGTTAGCTGAGCCCTTACAGGTTTTGCTGTCCCAGTCTTTCTGAGGATTGACATGCAGAGCTATTAGTCTAGGTGAAGTTCCTGTTGGTAAGTGTGGACAGATGCCATGGAGACCTCCATCACTTTAATGCTGTTAATACTTCTTTTTCTCACTTTCAAACTGGATTTTTTTTATAGCCACAGTCTTTTTAATAAGATGTATTGAGTTGGTTAGCAGGTGTAGCTTTGGCTTCTAGCTATCTAGTGTAGTTATCAACTAACCTGTAGCTTGCAGGCAACCCACTGAGCCAACTGTGGAAGGTGGACTAATGCATTACTGCTTTTGTGGTGGATTTTGAAGGCTTATGGTGGAAGTGTCAGAGAAGCTGCCAGAAGCCAGACAGCACCAGTGAGAGTTCTTGCTAAATTGAGGTAGTGATGTGGGGCTGGGCAGCAAGGCAAGGAGACTTTTAACCTGGTCTTTAGCCAGACATTTTCCACTGTTGTTCTCATTATTGCTGCTCTTCCAGCATAGCCAAGAGCTGGGAACATGTGCCTAGACAAAGTGCCCAGTGATGCCTTTCGTCCTGCAGATATGCTATGAGTCACAAGTGGAGTAAAGAAGGTATAAACATTTTATATTAATACAAAGATGTTTATACTAGTTAAACCAGAATACACCTGCCATATACCTGGCTGTACCAGCGAACCCGTGTTCTCACTGGGGCATGGGAGTGGGATTGCATCATGCTCTGCATGGTGATGGGCAAGATAGCCATAAGGATAGAGGTGAGAGCCAAAAGAAAGAGAACAACCTCAGATGGTGAAGGATTGACCACGTTGAGTTCTTAGCTCTGTGCAACATGGAACCAGAAGAAGCATAATCTCTTCCCCCAAGATCCTCATCTGAGAAGAATCTGTGCTTGCAAGCTGTGAATAAGCAGCTTATAAATAGATGGAGGAGTGAATTCTCCTTTGTTTGCAGAAGGCAGTATAGTTAGTGTCTGTACTTTGAGGGTGGAGTGGCTAGAGCCAAGAGCTGGTTTTGTCAGCTGGCTATTTTTAGTGTGGCTTGGTGATCTGGTTGGAAGCCCTGGGTGGGGACCTGAGCTGAACAGAGGTAATGGACAGGACGGAGCAGACTTCCTGAGCAGCAGCTGCCAGGTTCCTGATGCTGGACCTGACTCAATGACAGCAACAAAGAGAGAGATATTACAGCTAACAGCCTCCACAGTTCTTGTGCCTGGATCTACACACAGTTTTGAGACACTGGGTCTGCTTGAAGCTGTGGCCAGTTAATGATGCAGTGGGTTATAGCTGTGTGTGGCTGCAGGACTCACGTTTGTGGATCTTTAGCAAAACTTCTGCTAGTGGCAACTCCTGGGATGCTGCAGGGCTGGCAAGTGCCACTCT